CTCTTGCATAGTCACATCTTTCTCTTCCACTTTTAAGGACACTTGTGATTATATTGGACTCACCAAGACAATCCAGGATCATCTCGTAAAGTTCAGCTGTTTAGCAAAACTTAAGTTCATCTGCAAACTTAATTCTCCTTGGCTGTGTAACAACATATTCACAGATTCTGGGGTTTAGGAGGAGGATATCTTTGGGAGGCCATTGCTCTGCCTACCATGGCCATCAGCTCTGTCACTCAGTGTCTGAATACTCTTCCTTCCACTAGTCTTTTCACTTCTGCTGCTGCTTCTGCTCTCGATCCATCCAACCGGCATCCTCTGGTGAGACAATCCAATTTGTTCAGTGTACTATTATTTATGCACGTCTTCTGTACTTGGCTCCTTACAAGCCATTGATTCAGCAGTTAGCTGCTCCTGTGTCTGATAGGTCCTGATGCAGTTAGTCAGGGGCCAAGGGCAAGGTCATACATTAGAATATTGCTACTCATTTGTAAGTAAACTTCTTGGGCTCCTTTCATCAGGGACTGTCAAAGAGGGAAGAAATGTCCCTCAAACAGATGGCTGTGGCTCTCGACCTTTTCTGTCTGACTTACTGATATGTGGGATATAAAACTGAAAACAACAAAGGAACAAGACAAGCACAGGAAGAACCCAAAACTCATAGACACAGACAATAGTTTAGTGGTTACCAGAGGTTAAAGGGGGAGAGGGGTGGTAGATGAAGGTAAAAGAGATCAAATATATGGTGATGGGAGAACTGACTGTGGGTGGTGAACACACAGTGTGATATATAGATGACATATTACAGAATTGTACACCTGAAACCTATATAAATTTACTAACAACTGTCACCCCAATAAACTTTGTTTAAAAAAAAAAAAAGAAAAAAGATGGCTGTGGGCATGGCAGAGCTTTTGATTGCTTATCCAGGATAAGTTCCTGGATAAGTGGGAGGAAAGTAAATATATACATACTGAGGAAATGAGTTGTCAAATTTATATATTTAAGCTTTAATATGCAGAAATTTGACCCTGTTTCTCTTTGGGAAACTTAATTTACTCATGAGCTGCCATTTTCTCTTCCAGGAGAGGAAAAATATTAGTCTTGCCATTTCAAGGTTAGTTTCTTTCAGTTCAGAAGAGCCTTTTGTGGTATTATAGATTTAATAAATTTCAAGTTCAGACTCCCTTTCAGTATTCTATAACATTCTTGACTTTGCTCTTTGGGATCTGAGTGAAAACTTATGTGACAAAAATCTAGTGTATTTGCTCTCCTCTGTTCATTTGGCATAGATATTGAAGGTAATTGCTGCTAAGAACTTGCACAAATCTCCTCAGCCTGCATAGGGACCCTCAGCTCTGCATGGTTTTCACCATCACCCTTGAGCTGCACCTCTGTTTTCCACTGTCCATCCCTCAGTCTTTGCGTTGGGATCCCCTGGGTCCTGCACTGAGGCAGTCTCCTAGCAAACATACAGAGCCTTAATTCTTAGCTTCCTTTCGTGCTTATCCCAGGGGGCTTTTCCATTTCCCCCTGTATCCTGCTGAAGCCAAGGGAGATTCCTGGCAGAGTGGCATCGTAGACTCACTTTCCTAAACGTGCCATGTTACCATTTCACCTTCTGCTCTGGGAGAGGCTTAGTCCTTTATGATGTGAAATGGGACTGAAACCCCCTCCACACTGATATTCCAATGCCTGAACCCCTTGTTCTCATTAATACAATGGTTAATTGAATGTATTTTTGTAGGTTTCCTAAAGTGAGTACAGGAGATAATGTATGTCCAATACCTCGAGTGGTGCAGAGTAGCTGCTTGAAAGTGACTGTTAATATAATCTTCTAGTTCATCCAAAACTTGGAAGCCTATCTAACTTTCAGGAAGCATCTCTGGGGTATCTGTAGTATTCCATGGCATAATCCCATAATTCCATGGGATTATGATTTCTGAAACATTTCTTTAGGTGTGTTTAGTAAGCAATTATATCAGAGTGGTGCCATCTTTTGGTATTACATTTAAAGCTATTTTTAAATGTAGTATTCTGAAAACTATCTTGAAACTATGGACTTAATTAGAGCAAAGAGACTTGGAAAGAGGTTTTCAGGGAAAGAGGTAGGGAAACCATGTTCTCTTTGTCATCACCACAAAACTTGGTCTGTCGATGTAATAGGGAAAGTACATTAAAGCCAGTTAATTAAAATTGTAAGAAAAAATATGTACAGGTGACAAGTATTCTTTTGTCAGAATTTGTGTCAATGATGGCAGGGAGAGGACTTGAACTACTGAAAAATGAAAGCATATTCGTCTTTCAGTCAGGAGGGAAAACATCCTGTCTGGGGTTCTCTTTATGTGCTGCACTCCATCTAGCAGAAGAAAGGGTAGCAGTGTCACACAGCATGTGAGGAGCTGACGTGTGATCTGAATACAGCTCTGGCTGGTGCCAAAAACTCAAATTATTCCCGCCATGATATTTTTCTTTCAGAAAAGATATTGGATAAAATGTCAAAGCAGGTCATTCTTTAAGGAAAAGATACTTAAGGCTCTGTTTAAAATAGACATATGAGCTTGGCAACATGTTAAATATTGTAGAAATGTGGTTTATTTTAGTGGCAGAAAATACTATATATATTATAATGTATATATTATGAAAATAGTATATTATGTTAAAAATACATGTGAAACCTTCTACTCTGAAAACTGTTTACTAAACATTTACCAGGAGACTTTTTGAGAGATTTACAATACTTCATGCAACAACAAAGAATATTGTATTTTTTAAAACCAGAAGCAAGAGTTACTTTTTTTGGTGGGGCAGTTACATGGTTTTTATTCATGTTTATTACCCAGAAAACATTTCAAATGTGGTTTCATATGTAAAAAGGACAGTGGGGTATTTACATTGGCATCGAGAATTAAAGTTCCTCGACTTAATTTATTTAAAGTTTATTTGCAAACTAGATCTTGTTTTTCTTTTTAATTTTCTAAGCATTTAAAAATTATCCTAGAGACACACTTTGAGAGAATATTTTATATATATGTGAGAGGATATGTATATAGCTGAGCTACATTGTTTCTTCTGATTTATAATCCTCTCATTCTTTAAAGCACTGGTAATGTGTCTGGCATATGTAGGTTGTGACTTAATAAATGACATCATCTGTAGTACATAATGCGCAGTATATATTGTGCATCCTGAACTAATCTCCACCAAGTCTCAATTATACTGTAGTCCCTATACCACAGGAAGGAGGCTAGACTTCATAAAGAAGCAAACAACATATTAATGGTTCAAAGCACAACTGCCTTTCACACCAATTAGCTATATTGGTTTTTCTGCAAAGAACTAAATATCCTGGATCAATTAAAGTGATGTTGAGGTTTATCTGTTTGTACCCTGATCAATTAACCTATTCAGGAGAGCATGTTTCCTGGATGTCATCTTAGGCTGAAATGAAAGAGAGAGCCTTGGGTTGGATGGAGTTCGTAACAGATAACCTGGGTCTTTAAAATGGAGCTCAGTAATCTGCCCCTCAGCAGAAAGCACAAGCAATCCAGTAATATGCAGGAATCCTGGATAAAACTAAATCTGGGGATTTTATATGACTAAATTACTGTGCCTGAAATAGCTGGAATGAAAACCCACAAGGTCAAAATTCAAAGCATGGGAAACACCTCAGAGTTTGAATAAGTCAAACAATTCAGGAGTAAAAGTTTGCTTTAAATCTTTTAACACTATTAATTTTTAATCAATTCAATAAAAATGATAACTTTCTGTAAAGTGATGTGTGCTCTGTTATACATAAATGTTAGCATATCTATCTGTGTCTATTTGAGACCCGTGTTCCCCAGCAGCATCCGTGTTCAGCTGGGACCAGGCTGTAGAACCTGTTGGTAGTAACAGAATCCTGGAGTTGTGCCAGGAAAAGCAGGCTTGAACTGGTTCCTCTCTGTGCCTGGATTCACTTCTCATAAGATGGTAAAAAACCGCCAGGCCCTGGCTTTCAAAGATGGTTTAGTCATGCGTGTGCCATCCATCTGTTGGAGGCATAAGGGATTTCCTTCTTCGCCCAGCCCTCCAGCCACAAGCATGGTTGCTGGTCCCCACCCTGCGAGCCCCCCAGCCTACACCTCTGCCTTTCTTTCATGCTTCTTCTCCTGCCAGGGGAGTACAGGTGCTGTGAATCAGGTGCATCTTAGGCCGCTCCAGGGAAATCCTTCCATAGGCACCGATGTGAGCCAGCACTGCAGAATTTCTTCTTTTGCTGCCTTGCTTACTTTCAGTAGAGTTTGATTCAGTGATTTAAACACAAAACAAAACATTCAATTTGATAATATAAATACTTCCACTATTACATTTTTAACCAAACTTTAATGTAGACCTTGATGACCTTCACTCCTCTGTGAAATGAAGCTCCCTGTGTCACCTGGATGACCCTTAGCAGGGGTTCTATATTGATGCATATTCTCTCTCTCTCTCTGTCCTTCGCTCCCTCTCTCCCTCCCTCCCTCATTTCATCATGTTTAGCAGCATACACGTTAGCTTCAGTGCCAGCAGTGAGGGAAAACAGTGGGAAGTCTCCCTCCATATATTATCGCTTTCCCCTCCCCTCTCCCTTTGTTCACTGCACACATCCTCCTGCTTGACCTCCTGTTTTCTAGAATGGCCTTGCTTTTTCTTTAAAATGCTGATGGCAGTTAAGACCAGGTTTGGAGGTTGGAGGTACAACTTCAAGTCACAAAATTGCATATACAAGTCATTGTACTACAAGATGTTTTACAGCCTGTTAACATGACGTCACTATTTTGGCAAGCCAGTGGTCTTCTAACACACTGATATTTGTATATATATTTTTTACATACTTAAACTCCAGAAAGACCAAGGTGAACAAAGGGAAGGGTGGGTTTTCTGATCAATTGTTTATGACTTTAAGTACATTCTAATGTGCACTTGCAAGTCAGATACGCCATTCTTGTTCTCATTAATTTTCTTTTCTGTTCACACAGATTTATGAGAAATACCAAGATTTGTATACTGTAGAACCCAATAATGCACGCCAGCTGGTGGAAATTGCAGCCAGGGATATCGAGAAACTTCTCAGCAACAGATCTAAAGCCCTGGTGGTGAGTTTAAATTGGATATGCTCATTTTATTATTTTCCATTACTTGTTTATTATTTATTTTTCATGCTTTATTTGGAAGTTTCCTTTTGTATGCTCTCTTTACCATAGAAACTGTGCTTGTCTAGGATGTTCATAAAAGATGAGCTATGATTTCCTTGTGAACCCAATAATTAGTTAGCTTATTTTAATTATGTTTGTTGTTTATATCAGGTGATTTTAATACACAGGAATAGTATATTGAATTGGTACGTGCATCATATATATATATATATATATATATATATATATGTCATGATGCATAATAATAATGTTTATCTATCGCACAACATAAAACCCACAAGTATTGCCAGTACTCTTAAAGCTGTTGGTACTTTCCTGTCCCATCAACCTGCCTTCCTGCCAGAGGTGGCTGATGATACTCTAGGTATCTGATTACTTCTTTGCTTTAGCAAATGGTCGTGCCTCACATATATGTTTTGCTAAACAAGATGTTAGTTTGCATGTTTTCCAGCTTTATTCAAATCATACACTGTACATAGTTCTCAGCGACTTGCTTTCTTCCATCAATATTATGTTTGTATGATATCTGGATGTTTGTGCTTAGCTTTAATTAATTTTTATTGACAGTCAAATATTATTTTATGATGATATATCTCAATTTATTCATTTATTCTCAGTTGATAAATTATTACTTGCATTGTTTCCAGGTGGGTGGTACTAAGAACAGTGCCACTAAATTTTCTTGAGCAGGTTTCATGGTACCTATGTGCAGGAATATTTGTAGGGTCAATACATGACATTAGAATTACTAGACTGTGGGGTATTCACAAAGTCAACTTTACAAAAGGATGACAATTGTTTTCCAAAATAGTTGTATCAATTTAGACCTTCACTAGCAATATGAGTCCCCATTGGGCCATTTCTGGCCAATAAGTGGCAATGTCACACTTCTTAATTTTAATACAGCCAAAGCCAACTTAAAATATTATTAGTATTTGGGGGTATGTGTTTTCTTGAAGAAATCCTTCCCTCCCCTTATGTTATAAATGTGCTTTTTATATTTTATTTTCAAAGGTTCTTTGACTTTCAGATTTATTTAATCTACCTGTAACCAATATCTGCCTATAATTTTAGGCTGCAATCCAAATTAAATTTTTTCTAACCATTTTTGCCAGGGTCATTTATTAATAGCTTGCCTGCCCTTATGAGCTCCAGTGATCAATCTAGGTGTCTGGTAGGCCCAGTTCCTCACCATGTTCTTCTTAAGAAGGATCTTGAGTATTCTTGAACTTTCACATTTTATCTAAATTTTAGACTCAGCATGTTATTATCGAAGGAAATCTTTATTGGGATTTTGATTGATATTGCATAGACTCAGACCAAATTGGAAATAATTGATATTGTGATATTTTGTCTTTCTATTTATAGTCATGGTAGTCTAACATTTTTTTGTGACATTCATACAGTCTTAAAATTTCTTCATGAAAGTTCTTCTACATGCTTTGTTAGCTAAAATGCCAGAGCTTAAATTTCACTCCTTTTATTCTACAAATCTTAGCATTGTTACTCTGAATTTCCTGTTGCTTATCACTCACAATTCAGATTTTTAGCTTACTACATTAGACACACACACACACACACACACACACACACACACACACACACACCATTGGCACTCAGAAATTTCCCTTGCTTTTTGTGGCACTTACAAATCTTTATGTTTCTTAAAATATCCTGGATCTTGTTGTAATGTAACAGGAGAGCCCTTTGAAATATTTGGTATGCCATATTGCCAGAAGTTGAAACATTTAATATTTAAGAAATATATAAATGAGAAATTTATGGTAAGATAAACTTTCATGACTGGATGATTCAAAGCATTATCTTCAATTTTGGGTATGTGAATATCATTGTTAGATATTATTTATAGATGTAAAGTGTGTTTTCAATAAAAGTTAATCTAATAAAAATAAGATGCTTTCTACTTAAGTAATTAATAGTTAATGACAGTGGAAAATGATTCCATTTGTATTGATTTTTATCAGCTTATATTTTTTCTCCAGATGTAGTAAGCAGGTAATTTGGATATCAAAGTCCCTTAAAAAAAGGTCATAGAATGCGATAGGATAAATCTTGTCTTAATTGGATTAAATGGGAGCCTATTGAGACTTTTTCTTTTTTTCTAAAACATTTGCAGTTGAAGCTCTAGACAGACATCTGGTGCATTATTTGAGTCCTGTGGGGCATAAATGACTGTCTTAAGTGCACAGTGGCAGAATACAGAAAACACAATGACTAATTAAATGTAGAATTAATTTGATTTTATGTCAGGGAGAAAGATTTATGTTTGTTTTCAAACTAAATTCTTCATTTAACTTTTGGATTCCACAAAAATAGAAGACAGATTATTTAAAAGAATATTTTGAAGCTAATTGAAAAACAGGTGCTACATTGTACTGTAAAGTAATGCACAATGACATTATTAATTTACCTCTGTTTTTGTTGTGGACTTATTCTCAGGGAGACTTCTGGATTAAAGAAGCTTTAATTTACCTGGGTGGAATCCCAATGTTATTCAATAAGTAAATATATTGGAAAAATCATGAATATACACATTTCAAGTAGATAAAATTTAATACTAGGTAGACCTTATTGAATGTTTACTACTAAGTAGTATTATCCAACAATTTCTCACAATGATACTAAGCTCTAGACATCACTATTAGTCTCATTTGTCAATGAAGAAACTGGGTAGTTGAGGGTTCCTTTGACCGTGGTTAAGGAAACATTTAATACGCAATGCCAGTGCTTCTCAAACTTTAACTTGCATATGGTTCACCCATGGCTCTTGTGAAAATGCAAATATTTATTCAGTAGAACTGCCCTGAGATACCACATTGCTAATAAGCTCCCAGGTGATGCTGATGCTCCCAGTACAAAGACTATATATACTTTGAGTAGCAAGAATGTGAGAGAATTCAAATTCCAGTGTGTCTGGCTTCAAGATCTGCATTCCTATCTATTACACAAATACATCCTTTGCCCTGAAGAAGTGTATAATCATAATGAGGAAGAAATTAGTGCTAGGCAGTATGCTGTGAATTACCATTCATTCAGATTAATAATTGGATGCTCCAGTAATAGAATATTCTGGAAGGCTATGAATTTTTCAGTGAATGATATATCAATTAGCCATTTTCAAAAATGATTTAATGAAGTAAAATATACATTATAGAAAATAATTATTTTTATTTGAATTTGAAAGAAATTAAACCTTTATTTTTTGGTATTACGGTTATCAACATAAAATACCTTTGAAAATGTATTATAGATGTAAAAATCTATTAAAAAGAAGTGAATTGAACTGGTTGTTTTCTCATAGCTACTAAAGAAGTTACTTAAGAGTTTATATTTGATAATTCAGTTATTTTTTTTTAAAGGAAATGAACTAGAGGTTTTTTTAGTGGAATGATTACAATTTGTGATAAATTTTATTATGCATGCACATACACAAATTTTATATATTTGAACATTAAATTTTCATTTCTATCTTTTATAGCCTGTTGATTAAAAACTAAACAAGTTATTTTATTGCTTTATGCTTATTTTGCATTTGTTTATATGTTTGATTTGAAACTACTCCAACCACTGTTTTTTGTTTTTTTTCAATTTCAGCATTTATTTTGACTTTTTATTCATGCTTATATTGTGCTATGGTGTTTTGATCTGCTCCATCAACCGCCTTAGAAAGAGCTGAAAGAGAAATCAATATCAAAAATATATTTTAGTTGGTTTTGCCCTAAAACCATCTCTTTGATAGCAAAACAGACTTTTGCACTTAAATCAATGTTTTTTAGTTTTGTTTTGTTTTTGTGTCTATATAAAAACATATTATGATTCTGATGATTGATATACATTAGGCTCTTACAGAAATCCTATGAAGTAGACACATTAAAAACCTATTAGTTCTTATTTTATAAATGAGGAAACTCAGAAAGGACCACGGTTCTTGTCCAAGACTTGTACAGATAACATGATGTAGTGGTGGAATTTGATTTTTGGACATCAATCTTCAATCCAGTTTTTTTCCCTCTAAGTCCACACTGGTAATTTCAGCCATTTTATTTCCAAGACATACTGTAGCACCTAAATGACTATTTTCTTACTGTTTTTCTTGCTATACTTATGTCTTAGAAACTGGCTCAATATGATAGTTATCCTGCTAACACTGATTATTCTTAAGCAATCTCAAATCAAACAATGTTTAGAAGCAAAAAAGAAACGATCATCTAACATTGCCATTAACATTTATTTCAGCCTGAACTAGGCTGAAAAATCTACATGTGTTAACGAACTGTTCATGGGAGAAAGCTTTTCAACAAAACAACCCAACCTCCAATGGTGCCTTCTGAAAAATGGAGGCGAATGAAATAAGTAGTCTCATTGTTCACCAACCAGCACAGCTAGGGGGATCTGCTGAGTTAATGAAGGTCTCTAGACATTTTGCTCAAAGAAAATAGGATCAAGATTATAATAAACAAATTTTTCTTGTGACACTGTTTCAATTGTGTTGTATTCTGTCTCCCTCTGGCTGTCTTGGTCACTTTAATTAAAACTGCTCCAATGTATTATGGAACTCTAAATACTGTAATGTGCCTCAACTCTTAATTCAACCTTAATATTCAGTTATGATTAGCTATTGAAGCAAAATAGCAGGTGTTTTCAAATAACTATTTAAATAGGATTGCATTTTTCTTTTTTCTGGAAGGAGTAAATCACTGTTGTTTAACCAAGTTGTTTCATGTGCCTTTAGCTCTTAGACCACTCGTTCTCTATCGTTCATGTTTGTCATCGGTGCCTGGAGAGCCTGCTAAAAATTCAGATCTCTGGCATTTGTCTCTAGAGATTTTAAATAAGAAGTAAAGGAAGAAATATGAGAAAATATAGTCCAAAGAAGTGATAAAGTGATGGAGGAAGAAATGTGAAATTCTTCAGAGATT